CTTTGCAGTCTGGCGCATTAACCCACAGTGCCACACCAGGACTCCTAGCATTATAACAACCTGTAAACCACCACAGTATGACAAAGTGACAGATGAGTTGGGGTGGGGGGGTGGGATTGAATAACTCTGACCAAAATGAATCAGGCTGACAGGGAAAGGAAACTGGGGAAGTGTTTTACAAACCTTTGATAAAGGCGAGAATATTGTGACAAGTGTACCAGAGACCCAAGACCGAAGATGATGATGGAGTCTTTGAAATAACTAAAAGAAAGGAAACTTAGGCAATTTGGAAGAGGAATAAAAGAGTTGTTAGAGCATACCTGGCCAAAAAAATGCACCGTGAATTTAAGGAGAAGAAAAGGCATGGACGAGCAAAACAAAATCACACAAGCATAATCTTAAGGGGTTGTCAACATTACTGTTGAAAGAGATACTCCAAAATATTTATTATGATTGCAGTGGTTTATCTCTGACTGGTGAAAATTATAGGCAATTTAAATTTTCAATACTATTCTGTGTTTTCTATGACTCAATAGATAGCTCTTAAATATTTTCAGAATTATTTTAAATATTTTATGACAGAACTAGCACTATTATTGTTTCATAGCATGGGAGCAGTATTTGCATAAACTTTATGGAGAACCCACAAATTTATATCATTTTTAATGTTCATGAAATTTTTACTGAAGAGTTCAAAGCTTTCATCAGTGTCTCAAACAATAAATAGAAAAGAAAAAACAAAACAAAAACTTTCCCCATCATATATATAATTTGTCTAAATCTTTGTGTGTAAACAGTTTGGGATTTTGGCTGTCCACCTTCTACTGAGACCAGAGAGCTGATGATCCTTGAAAGGTCTGATTTGCCATCACTGGGGTTTGCAAAGGCAGAGCTCCAAATCTATCACAATAGAAATCTCACCATTAAAATAAATTAGAACCTCCCTCCTTTCTCACGCCACACAACAAAACTCCTTTTTTTTTTTTCTTTTTTAAAAAATAAAATTTTGATTTAGTACTTACAGAATTTGGAATACTTTTTCTGTTCACTTTTCAACTTGTGAATACAAATTTGTTCTTCTTTGGGAATATTTTGTACTGAGGTAAGTTCCAGCGAAGCTTGATCTTCTCAGTGGGATATGTGTTTCATGTGGGTTTTTCTTCCTTTTCAAACACACAGGGTGCCAAAGCATGCTTTCTGCGGGACATTCCTTTCTCGGCCATCTACTTCCCATGCTATGCTCATGTGAAGGCTTCCTTTGCAAATGAAGATGGGCAGGTTAGCCCCGGAAGCCTGCTCTTGGCTGGAGCTATTGCTGGTGAGTTTCACTCAAAGGGTTCTGTTACTTCCAACACATCCCTATCCTCATCCCCACCCCTCCATCCTATTGCACTGGGATTTTATGCTGATAGTTTTTGACAGATGCATATGAGTTGTCTATCAATTGCTTTGAGTAGCTACTGAAAAGAAAGGGGGGAAATTAATATTGCTACAGCAGATTAGATTATCGGACAATATTAATTTCTTAGTTCTAAGACAGATTCATTAAAAACCATGTCATTTTGTGGTATTGTTAGAGTCCAATTCAAATTGCCTATCATTTCTTTGATATACTTTATGCTATACAAATGATAACTAATTTACCAGATGTAAATACTTGTGCCTAGATTCAAAACAGTTCTTGAAAATGTGTCTATGACTCAAACAGTAGTTATTATCATTTAGAAAAAAGAAATGTTGTCGAGCTAAATTTGACTTGGGCCCATTAGAGACATCTGTGTCCACCTAGCTGAATAATGGTATATGGGAGTGGTGTGTATGTGTGTGTTAATTGGACCACACATAAAGATGACTGTCTACTTCTTTCCAGTTGTTGTTGTTGTTAAGTGCCTTCAAGTCGATTCCAACCCAGTCGGCAGTTCAAATCCAGCAGTTGCTCCTCGGAAACCCTAAACAGGGTGACTATGAGTTGGAACTGACTCGACAACACTTAGCAACAACAACAGGTGCACTTAACAACAACAACAATCCCTTGATGTCAAAGGCTGTGATAATGGGATACGAGGCAGTTGTTCTTTCCTGGCTGCTTGAGGACGGACCCTGATTGTATGAGTAGTGTTGAGACCATGGTGCCTACATCAAGAAATGATTTTGAAAGTGGAATCCTCTGCTTAATCTGAATCACTTTCTTTTATATGTCATCTGCATACATGAGAGGGATTTGAAGTTTAGGGGAATAATGGGATTAAAAGATAGAGGAACTTTTCCACAAACATTCTGAAGCTCCTTTCATATATTAATATTTTTGAAACAAAAGTCACAATTTTAGTTTTTTTTTTTTTACTTAAAATATGTTGTTGTTAAGTGCCGTCTAGGCCATTCCGACTAATGGAGACCCTGGATAAGGTTTCCTAGGAGCAGCTGGTGTATTTGAACTGCCGACCTTGTGGTTAGCAGTCCAGTGTTTATCCTACAGCCAGCTTAATGGGGAGATACTCTAGTCAGGAGTCGGGCAGAACTTATGTACCTCTTACTAATTATGTGACTTGAGGCTAATTACTTAACTACTCTTAAGCCTCAGTGTTATCAGCAATTAATAGAATAATTATACTTCTTTAGTGGCTAATAAGTGTTAGTCAATATTACATTGCATCCAAAAGAAATCTCTTTGTAAATCACTCTCAGAATCAACTGTGAGATGAGAAGATAAGGATTAGGTCTCCGGTTAACCCTTGTTTTCCTCACACCACAAAATAAATGAATACATGTAGAAATCACTAGTGGGTTTTACCCTCATTTAAAGTTCATTTTTTTCCTTCTATTCGTGTGTGATTATGAAAGTACTTTTGCTCATTTTCCTGTATTATTTGGAAATTACAGGAAAGAATAAATTAAATATTCTCCAATATTTCAGTGCTCTAAGATAATCATCATTTAACATTTTACTAATTTTCCCCCCTTGAATGTTTTCTGACGTATATGTGATCATACTGTGTATATATATCTTCACTTAATGTTGTGCCTTGAGCTTAGTTAGATATCACAGCAAAGCAGTTAATAGTAGGTATTGGGGGGTTGTGCCCAGGTTCACGTTCCAGCTCCACTCAGAGCTATATGGTCTGCGCAAGATATTACCCTCTCTCTCCCTGTTTCTATCTGTGTGTTGTTGTTGTTAAGTGCCATTCAGTCAATTCTGATTTATAATAACCATGTATAGCAGGGGTGGAAAACCTTTTTTATGCCAAATTTTATAACATCATTCATGGACCATACAAAATTATCAACTTAAAAATTAGCCTGCTATATTTATATTTGGTCAAACATTTCATTAACTCACCCTTAATATGATGGCTGTGGCAATATGGATAATATGCTGGACTGCAAAGTCGATTTGAACTGCAAGGTCAACAATTCAACCTTACCAGCTGCTCCTCGGAAACTCTGTACAGGGTCGCTGTGGGTCAGAACCGACTGAACAACACTTAACAACAACAACATGTGATTGCTGGAACTGCGGTTGTCTTGGCAGGACCAAATCATGTGATTTTATGGGCCTTACCCTTGATCCAGATGTTCCCCATCCCTGGAGTTTAGGGTTTCTGAGGAGAGACTGGTGGGTTTGAACCACTGACCTTAATAAAAGTCAGTCTCACAAAATTATTGTAGGATTAAATGAGTTAATAAGGCTTTAAAAAGTATTCAGTAATCATAATAATTTTACTGTAATTCATTTAAAATAAGCAAAAAATAACAACCTTTTAATTGTTGCATAATTACCTAAAACTCAATATTAAATACTTAAATTTTTTCCCCCAAAAACCAAAAATTTAACTAAATGACAATGTAAGGGACATCTTTGAACTTAAAAGTATTTCTTGTGCTCCGGATCATTTTTCTTTGAAGAGAGAGAGTTTGTTGGTAAAATTATTACTGTTATTGTTTTTAAGACATTGCCAAATTATTCTTGAAAGTTTGAACTACCATATTCTCATTCATGTTATACAAGTTTGTGTCTATGCAGAAAAAAAAAAAAAAGGATAGTTTACATCTCTGTGCCACTGTGATTTTAGCCTTCTTCTTGTGGTTGTTAAGTGCCGTCGAGTTGATTCCAACCCATAGCAACCCTGTATAGGGTTTCCAAGGAGCAGCTGGTGAGCTTGAACCACCAACCTTACAGTTCAAATGACTTTGCACTCTGATACATTAACAAACAATGTCACATCGGGATTCCTTATATCTATCCTGTTGTCTTTAGAGTTGTTTTCCAGATTCCTTGTGTATTTGTATAGCTGTTATCCATTGCTGCATAGCAAATTACTCTAAAACAACCAATATTTATTTTTCATACTATCTATAAGGAGCTCTGGTAGCGTAGTGGTGACGAATCGGGCTGCGAGCCGCAAGGTCAGCAGTTCGAAAGTACCAGCGGTTCTGCAGGAGAAAGATGAGGCGGTCTGCTCCCGTAAAGATTTACAGCCTTGGAAACCCTGTGTAGGGTCTCTATGAGTCGGAACCGACTCCATGGCACATAACAACAACAACAACATAGATGTGATAGCGTAGTCATTATGAGTCAGGCTGTTAAACTCAAGGTCAGCAGTTCGAAACCATCAGCCATTCCACAAGAGAAAGATGAGGCTTTTTGCTCCTGTAAAGATGTACAGCCTCAGAAACCCTATGCAGGGTTGCTATGAGTCAGAACCGACCCCATGGCATACCACCACCCACCACCACCATCTGTAGATCAGACCGCAGTTGAGTTCGAAGCAGCACAACTGGGTGATTCTGGCTCATAGTCTTTCCAGAGGTTGCAGACAGGATATTACCCAGGGTGCTAAAAGGCTTGGATGGAAGTGGAGGATATACTTTCAGATTCGGACATTGGTAGTCTCTTTCACTCGCTCAGCCTGAGCGTCCTTGTGACAAGGCAGAAGCCAGGATGACTTTCATGACCTAATGTTGGGAGTCACAGTTCTTGATTTTCCGGTTATCTAACTGGTCCACAGCTCAGCCCCATTTAATGTGGAAGAAGACTACACAGAGATATGAATACCAAGAGGTTGCCAAAGATTGCTCAGGGCCAATTTGGAGGCTAGCCATTCCACTTCTCTGGATCCATTTTGTTGTCACTGATTGTCTGGATATGTCATTAACTAGCTATGAGCCTGCTTTCTATGTTTTGATAGTAATTTTAGTTCTTTGATAAGCCTATTTCACTTTTTCTCTTCCCAAGAATTTATTAGAGTTGAAGTTAGACTACTTCAAGAAGATGTAGCATTTTAGAAGTGATTACTGGCATTTCAAAGCTTAAAGAATATTGTTGTTGTTGCTGTTAGGTGCCATTGAATCGGTACCGACTCATAGCGACCTTACGCACAGCAGAATGAAACACTGCCCAATCCTGGACCAACCTCACTACTATTGTCACGCTTGACTCCATCAATACTGCCACTTGGCCAATCCATCTCGTTGAGGGTCTTCCTCTCTTTCTCTGACCCTCCACCTTACCAAACATGATATCCTTCTCCAGTGACTTTTCCCTCCTGACAATGTGTCCGAATTATGAGAGACGAAGTTTCACCATCCTGGCCTCCAAGGAGCACTCTGGCTGCACTTCTTCCAGAACAGATCTATTGGTTCTTTTGGCAGCCCATGGCACTTTGAATAGTCTCCTCCAACACCATAATTCAAACGTATCAATTCTTCTAGGTCTTCCTTATTCACTGTCCAGCTTTTGCATGCATATAAGGTTATTGAAAATACCATGGCTTGGGTCAGGCGCACCTTAGTCCTCAAGCTGACATCTTTGTTCTTCAACACTTTAAAAAGGTCTTGTGCAGCAGATTTGCCCAATGCAATATGTCACTTGATTTCTTGACTGCTGCTTCCATGAGTGTTGATAGTTGATCCAAGAAGAATGAAGTCCTTGACAACTTCAATCTTTTCTCCATTGATAAGAATGTTGTTTCGCATTTTTGTTTTATTTACATTGAGATGTAATCCATACTAAAGGCTGTGCTCTTTGATCTTCATCAATAAATGTTTTAAGTCCTCTTTATTAGGTTGTTTTTTTGTTTTGTTTTGTTTTACATGTGATGTATTTTTTTATAACCTTCAAATACCATCAAATACTGGGAGCATTTCCGTTATTTCTCAGAATAGAGGTTATTGTTGTTGTTGTTGTGCCATTGAGTTGGTTCTGACTCATAGTGAGCCTAAGTAGGGTTGCACTATGAACCCTGCAGTTTAAGCCGATCTTGCTTAACCTAAAGCACCGTAACAGGACTCCAGGATAGAGGTAGACTAATCCTAGACCTT